CCTGATCAGGTTTGCAAGGCCCCCTCCAAATACATTCCTCCAACTTTCATGACATGCAGCCTATCTCTTGCCAGGAATACCTAAATAATGCATTCCATTATCAAAGAAATGAATCCATTCCCATTGGTACCATCTGTATACCTTACTGTTCCTTTGGGGAATTCTTCTCTTTCTGAGCTATGTCCTTTCACAGGAAAGAAGGAACAAGACACAAACTGAGCCCCAAGTATCTTTGCCCTCCTGTCCAGTGCTTCCTAGTCCCTTGCAGTGACTTCAAGATTTTGTTTGGCTGTGTATTTGTTCCCATATGGATCAGAAAGAAGGGATATTTGTCATTGGGCTTAAGAGAGTCTTGGAAATCTTTCTGTCACTTTCCAAAAGTGCACCCCAGAAAAACACCACACTCCTCTCAATAGGCTGGCTGACTAACAGATCACCACCATCACTTCCTTCCTCCTCTTCAAGGAAGAGCCAGGCATCCTTCCTTTTGCAGAACTTGTAGCATCCTCTTCTTCAGTTCCTGAGATTTGTGGCAGTTGCTTTTCCTTCAGTAGTCCAGAAATACAATCAAACAGTGAGGCTCTGGAATCTATTCTGTAGCTTTAAATTTTAAAAGCCTTTTTTGACAGGCTTGGACATTTGTGTCACTTTCTTCCATCTCTCCAATCCTGCCATTTTGCCTTCTTCTATTTTCTAGGAGACTTCTTAATTCAGTTGTCTTTCCACAAGCACTTCCTGTGACCTATTTAAGAATTCCCTATCTCCCCTGATAAGCTAGGGAGTGAAAATTTCATGTCTAGTCCTTTCCACCTCTCTTCCAGGATGGTAATCTTTTTGCATTTGTAGCACTGGAATTCTTGCCTTCAGCAAAGAAAACAAATATGGCATGTCTCATACTGATCACAACAGCAGTTTCCTCTGTCTTCATGCTCCTCTGATGAAAAGAAAGAATGATCAACACACACACACACAGCCTCCTCCTTGATTTCTACACAGGAATTCCCCTGCCTATCTCCTATTTGCCTGTTGTTGGGGAGCTGGCTTCCCCTCAAGCTGCCTCACAACTAGATCAACAGCAAGCAATGTCCAGTCATGCACAATGGGCAATCAGCAACCCAGTGGACTATCAGAAAAAAAGCCAGCAGAAGCAATCAATCAGCAGTCTCTCCTCCTTGGCTTTTTCTCTTTTATTCTTCTGTCTCTCCTGCCTCTTCCCTCTTCTTAGTCAAACTTCCTTGCCAAGCTCCTATTATTCACTCAGTAAACTCACTCTCTAGCGAGCTGGCTTCCCTATATGTCATCTGAAACTGCCCCAGCAAACTCACTATAAAATATGTTACAGTTCTAATAATAGTACATTTTGTTTCCACCTTGGGAATAAAATAGCAAGTAACAAATTTTCTCCAGTTTATTCTAAGAAAAGGTGGGATAAAATGATATAAACAAAACAATACAAAATTAAATATTTTCAAAAATTAAGGTTCATATAAATGATAATGCTTTGTTTAATTAATCAGAGCTGTGGTCAACAAAAATGTATAGGAATTAATGCCAGAGCAGTATATCACTCTTAAAATGTTGGGTTTGAATATGATAATTCAAATCTTTGTGATATTGGGTAAGTCCCCTAATAAAAAAGACATTCAGAATAAAAATTCAGTACTTCATATAATCCCTGAAAAAGCAGGAATGCAAATATACATAGCCACATTGTTAATAGATTATTTTAAAGGTAGACAAGACTTCAAATATATGTTTGCTTATTTATTTGTTAAATGTATAATCCATCTTCCCTTCAAGAGCACAAAGTAATGTACATAGTTCTGCTTCCTCCAATTTTCATCCACAACAATCCTGAGGTAGGCTGGACAGGTATTACTGGCTCAAAGTTACTCTGTGAACATCTGTCACTGAGGGTGGCCTAGCACCTGTTTTCCCCAGTGCCAGTTTACCCACTGCACCACACTGCTTCTCTCTCTCTCTCTTTAGTATTTACTTACATCAGTATGCATGCTACTTCCTTGTACCAACTCTAGGATGCTTATACCCATGAAAACAGTCTTAAAACGTCCAAGGACATAAACTGGCTATGTACAACACACACACACACACACACACACACACAAACACACAGGCTCTGATTAGATGATACCCTCTATGCTACAGGCTCTTTAAAAAATACTGTCTTCATGGCCTTCTGAAATGACAAACAGAAGGGTTTACCCTAACTTTTGGGG